CGTGCCCTCTCCCTCCCTCCCTCCCTCCCTCCCTCCCTCCCTCCCTCCCTCCCTCCCTCCCTCCCCGCCTTCCTGTACTATCAATCTCGCTCTTTCGCTCTCTCTGACAGTGGCACACTTATAGGTCTTGTGGTCAGAGCCCTTGACTCAACAGTTCTGTGGTTCGTAGGTTACTAGTTTAAGTGGTCTTGAAGGCCATGGGCCATTGAAGAACATGCGGAATGGGGGGCGTGAGGAAGCTACAGAGTTGAAAAGATTGGTTACCAGAAATAACCGTCAATGGCGATCGTAGAACGCACGCCGCGGACTTTGGTCCCTGATGCAAAGGCCGAAGGAGATTAGAACAAAGACTCGAAGAACCGAAACGTTCCCTGCCGGGCAACTGGAAGGCGCAGCCCATCATCTCGCCTTGCTGCGCCTAGTCTCGATCTTGGGATGATCCACAAGCGGGTCTTGGTGTTGCCTCAGTGGCCTCTATAGGGTCTACTGTATAGGGTATTGAATACTAGATCTCCACTCTCCAAACTTGTTCCTATTTCGGCTATATAACCAACACAACGGGATTCGTTGGGGGATGAACATCTACAGGCTAAGATGTCTGAACTCTGAACATCGCCAGCCCATTGAGGTAAACTCTACATGCGCAACTTTCAACACCACATTCACTACAGGCGCATGGAGCTGGAGCCACATTGGGGGGTCTTTGCTCGATTCCACCAGGTCGTTGACAAGCGAACTCAAGCCACATCCTCATGGTGGCGCATCTTTCTGGCGCCCTCAAGCCTGCACCCCCCAAACTGGTGTTTGCGTCAGGTTGTGCAAGATTGTTTCTATCTTGCGCGTACGGATTGAGGCATTCTGAGAACTCCATCATCAGTCCTTGAAGCCATGACGAAACACTTGCGTGCCTAAAAAAGGCTCTTTAGTGTGAGCTTGCTTTACACTCCCTTTGAAAGAGAAGATACAAGAAGGTGTTTTTGGCTACGAACGTCGCAGACAGCTCGTATCTAGAATCTAGACCGCAGTTCCACCACATGCCTGAGGAACCAAGCACACGCAAAGCCTAGGCCTACATGTAGAACTGCAAGATACCACAAACCCTGAAGCCCCAACCTCTATACAGCACCCACTGGATCCTGCAACGCGAAGGCGCAATGGCTACACTTAGACCTTAAAATGCCTGCATCAGCAGGTCGACACCATGCTCAATCTTCGGGGAGATCACCCATCGGTTGTCCTTCGAGGAGGGCTTGGAGTGCAGTCAAGGTTTATGTGGCTTCCGGCTGGCCGGCATCAAAGGTTGACAGTGCAACAAACGACTTGGGTCCGGCGCCCATACCGAACATCATTATAGTTCTGTGCGCAGGACATGCCTGTGCTAGGAGAGTGCATGCAGTCTGTTCAGCAGATACGGCTTCTTTCGCCGGGGATCCTTATTGCATTGAGCTTCTGGAATGTCCTTGAACTCAAACGTAATTAGCACAAACTTCTTCCATGGCGCCCTCAGACTCTATACTTACTTTGCGCGAAGGCTTTATGCTTGCTTACGGTAGGGTGCAACCAAACACAATGCCAAGAGCCCTGCAAGAAAGCCCAAATCCGAAAGCTGTCATCTACAAGCGAAGGCGAAGCATACGTACAGAACCAAAGGTTACGCTGGGTTCCGTTTGCAGTAGCTGCTAAATGAACCCACATTACAGCAACGACACAAAGGCTCAAAGGGGGTCTTCGATGTGGAAGACTTCTCTAATATGAAAATGCCCAGCATCGTCAGGGGAGGGTAAGTCCAGCCGTCTTTTCCCCGGCTGTCAGATACGACTTTGCAAGCTGTGCGTGCGTGTATGTGTGCATGTGCGTGTGTGTGTGTGTGTATGCCTCCGGTGTGCACATGTGTCGTCTTCGTGCCCTTCTATTGTGTAAGTTGGGAAAGACTTCGCCCCTTTCGTCAGGTAATGTGGCCCCTTCTCGTTTCTGACTTCCCTCAACTTCGGTGACGAATCTCAGGGAAACTCGACGCACAGAATGCATATACCACGAATCTTCACAATAAAAATCTTCTAGGTTGGCTACTTGCAATTAACTGCATACATATTGGAATGTGAACACAACGATTTTTCACTGCGGGAGGAATCACCGAGAGGAAAATGGCGAATCCCTGAGCTTGAATCAAGAATCTCCTAGCAGCGACTTTGGCTGCAAGTGGCTTCTGAGAGTCTACAGCGCCTGACTTCAGGCTCCATCAGGACGCAGGACTTGCCGGACCACAAACCCAAAGTCCAAAGGCTTAAAAGCAACGACCTAGAATATCAATATGAGCATATGTATGCATGTATGTATTTATCTATGCATGCATGTATCCGCATCTGTATGTGTATCAGTGTATGTATGTATGTAAGTATGTATGTATGTATGTATGTATGTATGTATGTATGTATGTATATGTATATGTATGTATGCAAGTATGCAAGTATGCTTGTATGTATGTGTATGTATAATATATCATATGTATACGCAGCAGATGTCCATGACTACATAAACATGTGACCCATAAGCCGCGCGCACGAATGCCCAAAAGCACCATAAACTTGTACACATTTGTAAGATGCCAAACCCAACTACGATCTCCGAAACTGCCAGGCTCTGCTCCGTGGCTCAAGGCTTGGGGTTTGGGGTTTTGGAATGCTATATCTTCAGGAGCTTAGCGGCTTAGCGTTTGGGACATTCAGCAGCTTCGAGGTCCACGCGAAATCCTGCACTGCACTGCACTAAACGACACCCCACCCCCCCACCCCCTCTGACTTGCATGGGCTTTATAACCTCTAAACACTACATGCTGAAGCCTCCGATGTTCCTGCGTTTGCTCACGTGGTTTCTTTCACTACCGTGGAGGGTACAAGTGAACCCCGAAGCCAGCGCCCCCCTCAGTCTCTAAGATCTCCGCTTTGGGAGGATTGCTGACGTCACGACGAAGGCTGGACGGCCTGAGTCTCAGCGTTTGACGGTGGAGGGAAAAAGGGGTTTGGGCTTTAGGGATGTTTTGGGCCCTGCAGACCTCAGACCCGAGCAGTGACGAACAAACCCGAAACGTCCAACACTGCCACGGTCTGAACCCAACCTCCGCAAACTTCTGTATCTCCAAGCCCTATGAAAAGGAAAACCTATAAATCCTCAGCTCCTGGAGTTCAAGTTTCGGGCGTTTCCACGGTTGTTGAGGCCGAGAATCGGAGAAAAGGCTGGGATTTCTAGGATACGACTCACAACCCTTCACCCCACAGCCAACGGTTTTGTATAGGGAATCGTTCTTGAGGTTTGGAAGCTTGCCAACCTCGCAAAGGCACCCAACTAAAACAAAAAACGAGCCCAATCGTCAACATCATGCACCACACGCTGACAACCCTGACGACAGGGCCCCATGGTTGGATTCATGTGCTGCGCCAAGAAGCTTCTGACCGCGCAGTCTCCGCAAATACCCGTTTCTGCAAAGTTCAACTTGAACTGAACATTCACCTTTGTATCTGAGCTAGACGACCCGAATGTAGACCGCGAGCTGGGTTTAGTGTCTAGGTCTAGGTGCAACTCGAGAATGGAAACAAGACGAAAGGGTTCCACTTCGACACTGAACTCAAGCATCGTTGCCTGGAGAACCTGTGCTATGTTTAGGACCCTACCATGTTAGAGCACAAGCAAGGTACAATATTAGAGCAAAAGTAAGGTACCACCGTTGTTCATGGATCTCATGGTGACGCCCATCTGCAACCCTATACCACGAATCTCTATAACACAAAGTGCCTTACTTGCCGGGGAGCTGAACAGGTGCTCTTTTGTAATCTAAGTCTGCAATGCCAATAAGTGGAGGGGGCACACGAAATTTCTACTGGGTCGTGCCAGGTTCATAACGACCGGCTTTTCACTGTCGGGACTGATAAAAGGCATTGAACAGTTCAACGCCTAAACGGATGGGGAGCATGCGAGGACAATGCCTCGACCATGATGGGGTGCCTTTGGGAACGCGCGGGAGAAAACAAAAAGCTTATCGCCATGGTGCCGCAGTGGCCACGAAGACTGCGTACAGTGTGGGCCTATTCAGCCGTATTCCTTGCCACACCCGGATAAGATTTGCCGCGCCAGTGTTGCAACGGTCGAGTTTGCCTGGGTCTTGCTGGCAGCATGTATATGTACCACTCGCACTTCTGGCGACCCGAACTCAGGGAGCAAGCCGACCGGAAAAGCTTTGCATCGGCTGCTGAAGACAGATACTGAAAACTATTGTTGAATCGATATAAAAGATCACAGGCTCAGTGTGAACTGTCGGGAGCCCAGTTTCTCCAACAATGTACAGACTTCATTAGATTACCTTAATGA